CATATTATATATTATATATTATATACTATATATTATATATGCTTTATATTTATATATTATATAATGTATAATATCTTATATATTACATATACTGTATATTTATATATTATATATATTGTATGTTGCAAAATATGTTGTATTAAACGTTTATATATATATATATATACATTTCTTTTTTATCTATGATAAAAGTCTTATTTGGAGAAGTTGGAAGCCAAGAAATTTTTTGAAAAGAGGCGATTATGACTGGAAAAATGAGAGAAGAGGAAGGGAGAGGGTATGGTGGTGGAAGAACGGATAAAAGGAAGCCTAAAGACAATCTGACAAGTTATGTGTTTTTAGGGCTATTCTTGCGAGGAAGAATAAGTTAATTTTTCTGGAACCATGGATTTGATTTGTTGCTATTGCCGTTCTTACAAATTGGATATAGATAACAACAATAAGGGCACGCACATATCAAATACCCTAACGAAGCAGCCTAAACAATCCCCAGTCGGCTATGGCTTAGCTCAGAATTCGTTTGAACAATAAAATCTGTTTTGGGATTTTAAAAAGAGAAAAGGATAGAAAAAAAGAAAAAAAAATAAAAGAGAAGAAAGAAAAAACTTTTACTGCTAAAGAAGAAGCTTTCAGTTGAGCTTGAGTTTTCTTCTTTTGTCTTATAGTTCTTTCACTTTTTTTTTGTTTTTGTTGATATTGTTTATCGTCATTTTATTTTTATCTTGTATGTAGTATTTACTTGTATTTGACAGCTGAGAAAGAAAAAACACTATTCTTTATTTGTTTATTTGTCCTCTTTACTAATTTATATGTATTCCTCTGCATTATTAACCTGTCTGAATTGTTTATTGTAAAATTCATTTGGATGTACGTTTGGTGATGAAAAATCTTTGTCATCGTCACCATCTTCATCAAAAACTGCAACATCGTTCTGATCATCACTGTCGTCATCATAATCGTCATCAACTTCAACTGCAATATCTCCACCAAAATGAAATCGTCGGCGGAATAGCAGCTGCAACTGATTGTAATTTGATCGGTAAAACTCATTCGAATACTGTCGTATAATAATGGTACGACGCCGAAAATCTAAAGTAACGCGAGTTATCAATTTGGTTAAACATATAATTGCATTCTTCTTTTCACATGTTGGACTTTGTGCTTTGGTAAGCATTTAATTTTAAAATAGTTATTGCTGTATTTAATTAGGTTAAACAGGGAACATCTTTTGTAGTAGTTTAAAAAGCATATGCTTAGAATGATGTAAGATTATGCTGAAGGGCTATACAGATTAATTAAGGTGGTCTAACTAGCTGTTCTCTAGATATCTCTTAACTGCCTTGTCCCGCTCGTTTCTTTACAGGAATTTTCAGATTGTTTTTTGTCAAATTAGCTTTTGAATGAAGCGGAACTAGTCTAATTTTGTAACTGTGAGTTTATTGTTATTAAACTGTTGGTGTTGCTAGAAAACTTAAATTTAAGAATCTAGGTTGTCGGTTATGCGTTATTGGGTGCAGTGGTATTCAAAGCGGTTGAAGGTCCGCACGAAACGCGGATTCAGAGTGAAGTTACGGCTGCTCGAAATCGAGTTGTGAATATTGCATGGAGTATTTCTGTTAGGTATTAATATTTGAAAACTGATTTGAGTAGTTTATTTTTGGCAGTGGTAGCGACAGAATTTAGGTGCTTAAATATTTATTTAGCTTAATTTGCTTAGCTGAAGTTCTTAACTTACTGTTTTTGACATTTTTAACTAGATCTTATTCTTTTTTATTTTGTCTAAAAAATATCAGTATTTTTAAAGATTTAAAACTTTCCCAAATTTTTTAGTTTATTTTTAAAATTTTTTATTAAAGTTGTACTAACTGCTTGGAAAAATGAGCAATAAAAAGAATTTTATCTAACATAATTATGTGATCGGGGTAAAGTATTGTTGGCTGGATACGTTTTTACATATACTGTACAATGGATTTTTATATGAAAAATATATTTAGTAAACGGAATAAAAGGAAAAAAATTTTTTTTCTTTCTTTATTTGCTGTCTCTGTGAAAACAGGCATCAAATGGAAAGCAAATTTAAGGCGTAATCTCTTCAACCAAACTTGGAAAAATGTGCTTAGTCAACAGGTGAAGAAGTTTCAAGTAAAATGTATGTGGGCAATAAGACGCGGATACGATGGAAAGGTAAATTCTGCTGTGTTCACTTGCTTTTCACTCTTCCTTCAACTTCTGCTCAGCTGTGCTCTTGTGCTGTCAGTTTGGTTTGGTTTCTCAAAAGTTTAACGTCTGATTTGAACGAAATGAAGCACAGAATACTCTGTCTTTGGATTATCCATAATTACTTGCGCCTCTTTGATGAACCCCAATGAAAGCAGTGAAAAAGCTGAAGATCGGTTAGAATTGCGGCATTCATAGAACGTTGTTTGTTCACCACAATGGATTGTAGTGTTATTGTTGTCAGCGATGAACAAACGGAGAGAGTTTTTGGTTTTTGCAGCACTGAGCGCTGCTGCGGAAGTTATATGACAATTAAAATTTGGATGGCTCTTATTGAACAAGCATAAATTATTACTGAAATGAAGCCAATTCTCAAAAGACCTACTCCGTCTGCATTCCACTGTTTTTGAACTTGTTTTTTCTTCTGCTTTTGTTTTATTTTACGTTTACCAAAATCTTTACATCTTTTAAAAATTAGGCTTCTCAGATGATACTTGAATTTTATTTTCTTTTCCAGAACAGAACATAAAAGTACCGGATTTTCAATGAAAATTTTCTTTTATTTTTTCATGCCTTCTCTGTCTTTTCATCTCTTTTTCCTCTCTATCAAACAAGTTTAATATTTCTGATTGATATACTTCTAAGGTATTTCCAGACTTCTTTATTTAAATTAATCTTTTTTAATACTTATGTTCATTAGTATGTTATAACTTTATAAAGTAAACTTGTTGTTAGTTTGACATTTAGGTAGCCAGCAATCGTTTGAATTACGAAAAAAAAAAAAAAAAAGAAAAAACAAAATAATTTTTTAATGAGGTATAAAAATTGAATTGATGCTACAGAGTTTGACTTGTCAGAAGTTATGGCCTATAAATACTATTCATTTTGTTGAAATTTTTTGTCGTTTTTTTTTTCTTTTTGAAGACTGAAACAGAAAAATAGAATTTACATATTAAAACAATAGTAATTAAGACGGTTTTTCAATTTTTACCGCATAGAACAGTAAGAATTCATAAAAAAAACGTCATTTTTTTTTTGAATTTAAAAAATAAGGCTTACCACACAATTAAAGGAACCTATTCATTTCCTTCTTTCTTCCTCTACTTTTTTTTTT